AAAATGTCTGAAAGGATGGAAGAAAGCAAAAGCCTTTGAATTATTTGGCCTTTTTTATTGGCTGTACTATCTTCACAGAGGATATCTTTATCTTCTTCTTCTTTTTTTTTTCTACTGTTAAAAACCATACCTATCAACCAGACAAAGTTGTAGCAGCCAGAGTCCTCCACCTCTACAGGACTGGTAGGTAGAGATTGCGAAAGATTATATTGAAAGCACGTTCAGTCAAATAGAATTTTCATCATCTAGTTGCTTTACCTGAAAGAAATATCCTGTTCAATAAAGCACACGAGAGAAATCATTTTCTAAACATAAGTGGCGATGCAGTGTCGCTCAGTGAAAGCCCTTCACTCTCTCTCACTGCGTTACCGTATCTGCAAGCTCCCCCTCTGCAACATGAAAATCAATGTAACAATTCGACGTACAAGGCAAGGCCTGCAGCGCTGCTAATGTCCCCTTGCTGGACATACACCTTAAGTCTCAGCGCTCTCAGGGGGTTTGCCGTGGAATAAAATTAGATTCCAACATCTGCCACCATTAAGGAAAAAATTCCATTTCCATCTCCCATATGAAAACACTATAACCAATGAACAGTAACTGAACCTTGATACCGTAATGGTTATTACCCAAATCAACTATTTTTTTTAAACAGTAAAATTAGCGAATTCTGCTCTCATAATTATTTGGATGTTATCAGACTAAATGTTTGATAAAATTCCAATATGATTCACCTGAAAAAACTGCTGCTTATATGAATACCCAGAATATAAAGTGTATTCATTTGTAGCTATTCACATTATGTTTAAAGCATATCATCTTTTTAAAGTTTGCATTAGCCAGCTTTCCTACCCAAGCACAGAAATAGCCTACCTTCAGGTTGTGCCTGAATATTTTATTCAGACATTTCTATTAGAGTTAAAAACAATCTTATTTCTGTTACTCATTGAAGAGATAACACAATACCTGTGAAATGGTGGAATCCACAGTGTTGGTTTCTTTTACTGAAAATACCCTGTGCATTAGTCACTGCATAGCACAACTGTGATGTGTCTGGTTCCGTAACATTCTGGGACTGCAGCAACTTTCACGTAAGTATGCTGCCTGTCATTCCGGGCATCTACCTAGAGCTTTACCTTTTAAAATGAAAGGTATTTGAGATACACGAAGAGATAATAAACATGCCTCTGTGTCATGAGCTGAGCCTCTTGCTTAGCATGTTAGAAGACATTTTCCATTTGTGTACAGTGCTGCATGACTTAGACGCTCTGCTGCAAACATTATAGCATGTAACCTCCTTCTATGTTAAAAGAATCTTGGGCTCAATAAGGTTAAATGATTTCCCAGTATTATACTATCAGGGACACAGCCTGGCCCACAGCCTCCTCAGTTGTCTAACACATCTCCTGTAGAGGAGGCTCTGGCATGGGAAAGGCATGGGCTCCAAGGGCCCTATGTCGGTAAGAACTCACATCCCAGAATATGCCAGTGAAGAAAGGAAAGCCCCCACCATTTCCACTATCGATCAGTCCAGTATCCCCAATTCCCCTTTCCTGGAGCTGGGAAACTTCAGTACTGATGCTGCCTGGAACCCCGAGAAGACACTAAAATGGTAGGACAGGTGCAGAGAACTGGGGGTTGCCTCTCCTACTTATTAGTCAGGTGAGTCCCAGGAGTACAATGAGGAAAACAATACTAGCCCACAGAGTTACTCTGAGAATCAAGTGTAGACAATATAGGACGTACGATGGGGTTTAGCACACAAAAAAGGTGACGGATGCCAAGTCCACCTGAGGATTAGAGCGAGACACAGAAGCACAGGCTGAGAGACATGGCAGGGGCTTCCTGCTTCCCACAGGCTCCACTTTTGGAGGCCTCTGCCTCATCCTGACAATCTGTGACACGTGATCTTTAAGACGTAAACAGAAGTTGGGAATTTGGACCCCAAAAAATATCAGTCTGATTTGAAGATATTTTTGTTTTTGTTTGCAAAACAAATTTGTATCTGTTTCCTTCCCAAAAATCACAGCAGGAGAACACAACTTAAGTGAATGAGCACCTTCCCTTGTCGAGTCAGGCCCGCTCTCTCAGTGACGTACACATACCATATTTGGACTGTCTTCTTTTTACCTAACCATCAATCTTACTACATATTCTCATAAACAGGGTAGTGCTAACAACTAAGCTGCACAACTAAGAGAAAACTACAGAAATGCTCTGCTGGGAAGTGACAGTAAATAAGTAGTTAGGAGTAACTATCTGATGGAATGAAGCTGACAGTCTGCTTGACCCCCCACAGCCACCAGTTGGCCCCTTAGATTCTCTTTCAACCAGTAGTGAAAAGACTGGCTAACAGCTTTGGGGTTGTGGGGAACACCTTCGTGGCAGACACACAGCAGCTGCCAATAGGCTTCATTGAAGGAGACTCATGGGGAGCTCTGCAGGGCAGAGGTACAAAGGGCAAGGACATTTAAAACCTCTCCAGAACATTGCCCACATGACCTTATCAACCTATTGCTGCCACTGTCTGAATAGTTCCAAAATCAGCACCTCGGCCCGGGCAGGGAGGGCTGGGAATATCATTTAAAAGGAAGAAAGAATGAAGGTATAGCAAAGGGGCTGCTAACCATAGGGGGTTATGATACAGACCAGTGATTTTTAATGGGTGTGTCACAAGAATTTTTAAAACATGCAATACCTGAATATTTAATCAAGGGCACTGACCTCTTTTTCCTTAAAACTGTCAAATAAAAAAAAATGACAACAGCCAACACAACAAGAGCCGTACGGTGGGAATGCTCTCTTTTGAGCCATAAATATATAGGTCATATAACAAAGTTGCATCTCATTGGCCACACCACATAATAAGTTTGTGTGTGATCAGTTAATTCTTGGTACCAGAAGTCCTTATTTACAAGTACAGGCATCTGATTTTTTAAGAAAGTCACTTTTGAGCAAAAAAGGTAGGTAATTACTATTACTATTTTTTTGTAAATCAATCAAAATTATACCTAATTTTTTGTCAGATAGGCAAAAAAAGTTTTTTGATGGGATGCAGAATTTTAGCAATTAGTTTATGTGTGCCACGAGATGAGAAAGGCTGACAATCACTGATACAGTCAGACAGGAAACTGAGGGATTGGGGGCCAGATTAAACTCAATGCCATATAACAAGTAATAAATGACAGTTATCAAATGTTCTAACACTTATTTTTGTTGTTGTATGTCTAACCTTTCTTACGATAATACATGTTAACTTTCTCTGTTTATGTATTTTGTTGATTTGGGGAGAATGTTTGGTCTTGTAGGAATATAGCCTGTTATTTTTGATAATTTAATTGGATAGGTCAGCAAAGATGTAGGATCCGAAAGAAAAGCAAGATTATATATATTTAAATAGGAGATCCTCATCATAATTAGACTGAAGAGCCCAAACAAAAATGTGCAGGGTGGGTGGGTGAGGGGTAACGTGAGACTAGGACATTTCTCCTTAACGCGTAAGTCTTGGCATGTAAATGAAGATATCTGAAGAAGCACACAGGTTTGAAGCGGCTCTAACATTCTATCATAATTAGAAACATTTCAAGAGCCCTGTAATTTCCAATCAAAATTACAGTAATTTCCGATATACAAGCCATGATTCATGACAGAGTTTTACATTCCATGAGAGAGTGTGGTGGCCTGGTGCTCGACACGCCGAGCGCGGCGCTAACATAAACAATTCAGCTTAATGTTTCAACAGCACTTGATGTTTAGAATCTCACAATAAAAGAAACATATTATTGTAGAAATTATCACTTTGACAGTGATTGAAGGGTAGGCAGGCATGTGGCCTATAAAGCTGTAATTTTTACAGTCCACAGCTTGAGTTTAATCATTTTTATGTAACATTTCCAAGATATCCCTTAAGTATGTCATCCAGTCTATAACTTAAATAAGAACAACATTTTCTAAAACAAAACTCTGATCAAGGACCACTATCAACGCGGACAGAGTCAAATTTTAGGAAAAGCTACAAAGAGTTTTAGACTATAAATACTCTCAGGGTTGTCTATTGTTATCATAAGTTGATAGCAGTAGGGCTGTTTGATAAAAGAGGGTTCATTAATGATAATAAAAATATATTTGTTTAAAATTTCAAGTTGTTAAAATCTTACCTGAGCCCTTCGATTGCCTCTAAATTCTCACCTTGATACTGTTATCAAATCTTTTTTGCAAAGGGAAAGAGAGCTTAGTGTTTTCTGGTCTTTTAAGAAGCATTCTTGCTTTGAACAAGGGTTTATAGATAATTGTGAGTTCATGCATATAGATGACTAGGCTTCTGACACATATAAATTACCCATATATGACAATTATACTGATAAAGAACTGCATTATCTATCCTTTGTTATGTCTTTATCTTGTTTTGTAGGGATCTGTAACTTTTCCAATTCAATTCTATTCATTCATAATTCATCAGAGATGGACAGTTTTTTTCTAACTGTAATTCAATCTATGTCATACATCTATAGAAAAACTATAATCATTCATATGCAAAGGTATATGTGTGTGTGCCAGTTTGTTTTAATAAGTGTACCTAGTAGTTGTAGATGTTGGAGATGGAACAGAATAAACTATAAGGTTTCTAGTATTTTAGGAAGGAAATCAAGGTCACCTGAGTAATAATGAAACAATAGTAACTCAAGCTATTTGTTCCACTACAATAGACCAGATTGAGAAACTTCCTATATATTACATTATTCTTCTACTGAAAACAATTCTAAATGGACTTGGGGATTTACTAAGAAATCCCTGGTCTGGAGAAAGGCTGTTGGAGGAAACAAAACCAAGTGTCTATCACTGGAATCTGAACATTTTGTTTCATCTGAGAGCTCTGTAAATAATCCTGGAGACCATGACTTCTCGGTGATGCAAATTCATACTGCAAACAGAAACCCCTTTGAATGGTATTTTCACAGGCATCGCAGATAAACATTCTCGATGCCTAATCAAGGCTCTCTTACCTGGCTTTTGGTTGCTGCAACCTTTGCAAACAGTGCTTGGGACACTTTAGCGCGCTTCATTTCCTGCTGAATCTCATCATAAATGGAAGCATTAATGTTCATGGTATTGTTCTCTGGTTTCCCATTCCTCTCAGTGGCAATAGTAGCTGTTTTCACCTACAAAACATTTTGAACATGACTGTCATTTTTCACTGGTCAAACTGTTTGGAAGCTCCTCGGGCTCAGCATCCCAACAGGGCATCACTGCTCCTTTTATGATCAAGGTGGTTAGCAGTGCAGTCGTTCAACATTCGTTATTGCCCCGAGATCAGATTGCGTAAGTTAAGGAAGTCACATTGTCATAGGTGATTGCATCTGTAATATGACAGCAACTGCTAGCTGACAACCAGGAATTACAATGCCATAAAGTAAGTTTTCTGGAAAACGAAATAGTTTGAAAGACTTGAAAACCCCAAACTAATTGTTTCCCAATTACTTTCCATTCAATTCTAACAAAGGAAACTCACAATTACAATCATAATGCACAGGGCTGTATCTTCTCTGGGTGCCCGGTGTCTAACAGACAATTGCATCACTAATAGCTATTACATACTACCACGTTTTCAACGTTGGACTCTTTTTATGCCTTTTCCTCATGTTTCACTTAAAAAAGCTTCCATAACAAAACCATTTGCGGAGCTGCATATTTAAATCTTCTATCCATCCATGAAACAGGTAGAGTGCCTTGCTTACTTATCATAAAGGCAGGTTGGGTTTTACACGTGAATGTCCAAGCTGTTCTGTATAATTATTTTCTCTCTTTCTGGCACCTCTGTATAAAACTATTTCTTTTGAATTGTGGAACCAGACTATAAGAAAATGTTTCACAATATTTGATAGAATGCTGCTGCAAGTTACACAAAATACATCATCAGTGACTCTAAAAATATGTTCAAAATGTATGGTCCTGAGTGAAAAATTAGTAATGATAAGCCTTTGGACATAATGATAAGCATACATTAGAAGGAAAATGACACAAAATTTTAGGGGAAAAATTAAAATCACATACTTACCACTTATTAATACTATTATTAATCTTTAAAACACGAAATTTAATTTTTATTATGTAACTATATTGACCACTGGTAAATTTACCTATGAACTATGTCACTGCTTTTTTTTCCTGGGGAATTGATGAAAATGTGAATGAAAATTGTCCCAGATGCAGGGCCATGTTTTTCCCCCACAAAGTGATTCATTGAGGATCGAACTTCTTAGGGTCCTTTATAGAACCCAAGTTTTTGTTCTCTAGAAATTTAGCATCTTGGACCATTTCTCACATATACTAAAAACACTAGAAAATGAACTGCATTTTAGAATAAATGGATGATTTTTTTTTTGCCATTGAATGACATACCTTCCTATTCATACTGCAAGTCTTCCAGGTTTATTCCACCCTGTCCCAGAATATTTGGCATCAAAAGTAGGACAGAGGTTATCCTCAGCTATTCAGTTCTCTGCACTTAGCAAATATGAGCCCCTTTAAAACCTGCCTTCTGCATCCTTTGAACTTCTTGCCAGTTAGCAAAATAACTCACCTCTGGCTTGTCTTGGAGAGGCAGCTAGATTCTTCCACCTTGACACTACCTAAGGCTGAAAGGATGATGCTGTGAAACGGTTGGGCCACAGGTCCGAAGCGAGGGCACAAAAGGTGAGGCAGGGCAGGTGACCCACTGGCTGGGCCTCACTGCCTCTCCTACACTATAAACTAGAGGCCAGGAGTAGGCTAGATTTCCGGAGTTCCTCTTCTAGCTCTGTGACTTTTGTAAGCAAGGGCACTCTCAGAGGTATATTAAGGGCCGGGGGCCACTAAGAACATACACATGGCTTTAGAGCAATAATCTGCTAAACACCACTTTAGGAGCCAGAAGAGTTAATGCATTACCATAAATTGCCTACAAAGTTGCTTTGGTGGGATTCACAACTTTGCTCTGGGGTGGTCTTGCTTTGAGGCAGAAGGATAGATTTGATCACCCCACGGGGTCCCTTTTAATACCTATTTTTTCTCACTGCTTAAATGAAAGAGAAAAGAAAAGCCATTTCAATCGCTTTGAAAATTGAATGTTATGGAAATGGGGGCATGAAGTCCAGTGCATTGGAAGAAAGAGTTCCGCGGCAGCAATCTGCTTTGTAATAATAGTTGAGAGAGCAGGCTTTGGAAACTTGGTGTTTCATGTTTTTAAATAATTTGCATTCTTTTGTAAAAATTATGTTTAAGAATTTATCCTCCAGGTACACTATAATCATCTGTCTGACCACTGTGGTTTAGTTTCTAAAAATTTCTTTTAGGTTTAATATTTTTTAAAGCAGTTACAACTTGGATTAAAAAGCAAGAATTTTAAATCATGAAAAAAAAATCAATCGTTTCCTAGTAGCCAACACAAAATAAAAGTGGAAAATAAGTACATATGAAACATTCAAAATTATGAAAAGAAAGTGATAGCAATGACTTTTAAAAATATAAAGAAACTATTACTCATTTTAAAAAGATTTAGAAAAGTTCTCCGTTACCATCCTGTTGGCTCCAATCTGTATCTTATCATAGATAAGCTATTAGAATTCTGGAGTCACATTCCCCCCCAAACACAAGCTACTGCTTAAGGGGAACTGACTTGGACAGCTTTTCAAAAATATGAAAGCTGAATTTTTCCCCAGGTAAAAATGGAAACAAAAATCTTTTATACCTCACTCTACTAAGTACTATTTTAGCTTAGTACAAAAAAAATCTTCTTTAATCCTGGTTTAGCTTTTAATATTATATCACACATTAAAATTCATAAAGTAGTTCATTCCAGGCAAAACAAACTACTCTTCAGCTCTTCTCCGCAAATAGCACAGGAGGTAAAATAAAGGCAGTTGCTTTCCGAATAGCTTTTATCAAGGTGGGGTGTGCTACTCCATCATTACAGAGGCGCCGGGGAAGTAGTTAAGAACTGGAACTTCTGCTCTGTACCGGCCCATGTGGGGATCGGGTGCAGCACTAAGATCTGCCTTTTATTTCACTGAAGTTATGCACTAGAATGCACATTTTCCATGAAAATTCTATTTTGTGCCTTCATGTACTGCTGTATGCATCAAATCCTACCACAAAATGACCTATACATACTACATATGTACTACATATTACACACATGCTCCACTAAATGATTTCTACGATGGACCTCATTGGTAAATGGTATTCCTTGAGGCAGGAGCAATTACCTGCAAGCTCATAGCACACACATATGTGCATGCACACACACAAAGTTTGATGTAGTTTCATTAGTGATTATGATAATAATAAACACTAACATTTATTAGTTGCTTATTATGTGGTGGGCATAATATTAATGTACACTAACTCTAACCTGCACAGTAGCCCAGAGTAGGTGCTACTAATGCTCCATTTAAAAATTGAGAAAATGCTCTTAAAACAAAGAGGTTTTAAGTAATTTGTCTGTGGGCAAGGCTGGGAGCTAAGTTGAAGTCTATGTGATGCTAATGCTTATCTTAGAATCCACTGCAACTATACTGTGGTTGTGTTATAAGGGACTTGTTCATTTGGAAAAATCCTTATTTTTAAAGACATGCTGGACCTGCTTTTTTGGTGGCCCTTTAGTTTATTAATATCTAATATTTAATAATAAGGGACTACCATTAATTTTACAAATGCAGTCTGAATTTATTTTTAAGGTATGTAAACTGTGTTTTCTTAGTAATGTTATATAAGAATACACTATTCTAAGGCATTCTTACTGGTGATAGAATACAGTCCATATTATCAAATTTTTATCTGTTAACACTCTCTAGAGTATTATGATTGTAGAAACAGTGTTAATTATTTTCCAAATCCTCTAGCTTTTAAAAGATGACTATTATGGGAAACATTTTACAAGCTCACAAATAAGATCTTAAAATAATGCTGGTCAAGGAATTCCTAACAAATGAAACTTTCATCACGTATTTAGCTCCTGCCCCTAATTGGACGTATGTTTCATTATATTATAAGAGAAGTTGTAAAGAGACAGGAGGGTGCAGCTGCCAGATTAAAATAATGATGTATTTCTTATATGAACTTTGTACATTTTCTAAAGCATTAAATATCACATCTTTCTTTAGAAAAAATTAAATAACAACATAAGGAGTTATAAAAATAAATGAAAAAAGAATTATAAAACTAATGTAAAAGTTATAATTATAGGTGAATTTACCTGCCAAAGTCACACATATTAAAACACACAATAAGACTAGAATAAGCACACACCTAAACAGAAATCAACTTAAAACTGGTGTGCTCTGTGGAAAAGAATTCCCAGAAAATAATCATTATTATTAATAAAATTCCTCTAATAAACTTGTCTGGAAAATCTGCTAAGCAGAATCAGAAAAGAAACCTTTAAGACCAGAAAGTTTTGGAGGAACTGGGTTCTCCCAGACATTTTCGTACAACCCAAGTGAAGGGACAATGTCATCTACAATCTCCGAAATACCCACGGACCATCTGCCATGCACTCAGTGTGTTCTATCAGGAGAACGTTCTTGTAATGTCCTCTCCCTAACCAAATAATAAAACTTCCCATTCTCTATAACAAACAGAAAAAGTCCCCAAGTTTCATTTTCTTTTTCCTATAATGTTCGTTGATATTTTGAGCAGGTGGCTTGAGGTAGGGGGAAGAGCAACAGACTTAAAAGGGGACTGGAAAACCGAGACTAAACCTTAGCTTTGGTTTTCTCATTTTTCTCCTACAAAAGGGCTGGTCTGAGGATGCAATGAATTAATGTACATCAAGGTGCAGAGAAAACTGTGAACCATTATCAAGTACAAGGTAATCTTATTTCTTGAATTAGCATGTAAAGTTGTGAAAACATGCAGTCAGTAAACAGAGCTGACTGCCCCAGTGAGAAGCGGCTCACAGCAAGGCTGCCCCCACAGAAGCAGAAGGACAGGTGAACACAAGGTGCACCTAACCCAGGCAGGACCAGCCCAGACCTTTGGTGCCTCCTGAGGCCAGGCTGGGCTTATTCAGGGGATGTATTCCTAAATATAAAACTTGGAGCTTGACTAAAACCAAGGAGTACCTTCTTGAAGATGACTGAGAATCTGAGTCCCTCAACAGTTTAGGTCTTCAAGTCTCATATGAACCAGGAACATGCAAATTCGCTTCAGTGTGCCCTGAACTCTGCAGGAGCTGGGAAAGAATCCAGTCTCTCAGGCCTAAAGATGGGTGGGCTCCTCAGTGAGTCACAAGGGACCTCGGCCTGTAACGTGCAGTTTTTTGGAAAGCAACCAGGGTCGCGTTTTAACCTAAGGCCACTACTTGTCTCACTCTAGATTTCAAATCTCTTCATTTGGGAGGCAATGAAATGCACAGTGATTTCACATAGACTCCTCTCTGGTAAAATATGAAATTAAAAAGGACAAAATTCTGCAGTCTGTTTCTGTATTTGTGGTTTCACCCTCCGCCCTCCTGCCTTCTATTTTCGTCATTTGCAATAAGCATAGTAAAACCTTACATGTGGTGTACTGGTTCCCGTTTGAGCATTAGATTTTAACTGCTGCAAAACAGTGCTAGTTCAACAGCTTTGTAACACATTTTCCCAAGTATAGAGTACTTGTTCAACATTGATAATGCTTTTAATTCATTAAAAATCTCTTAAAATGTAATCCATTGAATCATTATTAAAGGGTAAAAGGTGAAGGGTTGTGAGCTCTATTATTATATTAAATAATGCAAAGGGATTCTCAGTGGGGCACATAAGATACTGTAAAGATTTATATTATAGCAGTGAGATAAAATTATACACGCACATCAGATAATCATTTCAGAATTTGGTAAGATGGCCAATAATATCACATTAATAGAAACAATGTTTCTTTTTTTCTCTGAAAGAATTTCACTAAGATTCTGTAGTATTTTCATACTTTATATGTTCATCATTGTCTGAATATCCTAGCTAAAGGCTTGGTCTCAACCCTTCTTGAGAACAAACAGAGCCTACAGATGGCCCAATCGAATAATAATTCAAGCCAAAATAAGTATTTTCTGCCTCAAATTATGAGCAGATCTATTCTTTATACATATATACACACAACCCCATCTGATATATATCATTTATATGTCTAAGACTATATATCAGATGTATGTGTGTATGTTCGTATACATATCAGAAAGCTACTCAAGTATCTCAAGAGTATATGAAAAATAATATCCCTTAAGAATTAATGTTGCTTTGCCTAAAGAAAAAAACTTGATGGCACTGACTGGTGTGGCTCAGTGGTTTGGGCACTGTACTACAAACCAAAGGGCTGCTGGTTTGATTCCCAGTAAGGGCCCATGCCTGGAGGGTGGGCCAGGTCCCCAGTTGGGGGCATGCAAGAGGCAACCGATGGATGTTTCTCTCATACATCAATGTTTCTCTCCCTCTCCTCCTCTCTCCATTCCCTTCTCTCTGAGAGTAAGTAAATAAAAGTAAAAAAAAATTGATGACTAAGAATAGCAGAATAACGTTTGAAAAACAGAAGCATTAAAATCCTAGAAAAATTAAAAACAATAGCTGTCTTATGGATCACTAAGTCAAATATTTGGATAAATTTTTAAAGAAAGGAGAAGCTCAATGCTAAAGTTCACACTGGTCTTAAATAAGCTATTCATTTGTTGATACTGCAGATTAAGTGTTTAAGTAAGATAACTCTCTGCCCAGGGGCCTTTCAGTGATGATGACAGGAACAAAGTTAACTAACGATGGTGTGTGTTACTCTCAACACCAACACTAATTATTAAACCAAGTCCAAAGTACAGCATTTTTTGTTTAGTCACTTATAATAAAAGGTATATATATCTATATGTAGAGTTTCTCATTCTTTTTCTTATGCAATATTGTATAGGAAGCTTCACAGATCAAATTCAGTAACTGTGAGTGTGTGTGGGCAGGTGAATGTGTGTGTGTGTGTGTGTGTGTATACATGCCATTCTTTTCTGCTAGAGAAACATGAATTTCTCATTCACAGTTACAGTAATGACCTTCTACAGTCTGTTCCTATAGACATCAAGACCTACTTGATTTTCATTAAAAAAAGGGAGAAAATGGACTTCTGAGACATTGATAAAAAATAATCATTTCAAAGCATCACAATAAACAGTTTAAGGCCCTCGACTAGGGGCTAAATATAACATCTATTCCTTATTCATGGAGTATCTGTAGCAGTTTCAATTTTAGTGCTGAATGAGCTTTTTCTATACTTCTATTCTTGGGAATGTATTACTATTTTTACTATTAATGAAAAATTAACATCAAGATATAATTTCATTATGACATGATGTTACTTACATAAATACTTTAAATTTGTATTCCATATTTAATTTTTATCCAGTTTTAGCTGATGTTATTTTTAAGAGTCGTACAAATTATACATGTAAAGAAATATATTTGCTTGTGGATTAGAAGTCTAATCCACCATCAAACTTTTATCTAATAGTTTGTACCGAATATTAACTTCTTATATTCTCCTAAGAGTTATGAGGCTATATTTTAAACTTGGTTTAAGAAAAGAAGCAGCAGTACAGATATACATACACTGAGTTACCTCGGAGGTGACCTTGGTCCTTCCCCAGAAGTGTAAAAATTTGGATAATGTGCCCATTTCTAGGAATACGTATGGAATTCTTTATCAGCTCCATTTAAAGCTGCCTTCAAGGATTGTATTAAACTTAATTATGAAAGATTACAAACGAGACGATGTGTAATTGGCACCAGCTGCAGTTCGTATGGGAAAGCATAAATACAAATAGAATTATTTATTTATTTATATTTATTTACTATTCAAATGGCAGTTCTAAAACTCACAGGGATGAAACTGACTTTATTACTTTCTTCCCTTTCCAGTGTAAAATACTTCTTTCCTCAATAGTAGTAGAGACAAATATCCCATTTAAAGACAACTTCTCACCCCCAAAGAAGCAGCAATACAAAGCAATTTTCTTTTCCCTAATTAGTAGCTTGTTTTTTTTTTATACCATAATTAGTGATTTGGGACCGAATTCTCCCCCAAGCAACTCTATAAATTTTTGTTTTGTGTTTTTTTTCTACACATGTCCATCTACCTTCCTAGTTTCCTATTGAGATTCTTTATCAGACACTTTTTTTAAGCCAAAGAAGAAAAAGTGGACTTCACCTGGGGAGGGCGGCTGGGTGGTGTGCTTATCAGGGGGGCAGGACCCATGGCCGAGGCAGCATTCAAGCTCCTTTCCCTTTCGTCCTGGTAAATTCGATCTCTTTCAGCTTCTGGTAACTGCAGGAAATTCTGCATAGCCCGCAGGTTTACCAGCAAAGACTGGGATGCAGTCTTGGGGTCCTCTTCCTTTCTGAGAATTTCTGAAAGCAAGCCCTGCAGGGAATGAAAGGCACAGGGTGAGTGAGCCTGCTCTGCTCCCCGGCTCTGCCCAGCCAGCGGTGAGCCTTCCCTTTCCTTCCCCACTCTCTTCAGAAAGTGAACAGTCAGAAGCATTAATTCTGCACAGAAATACATTAGTTACAATTGAAGTGGTAGAGAAGAGAGCTTCAATTGTATTCTTAATTTTATTAAGCATCTGCTTTACATATAACATAAACTGAAACTGCCTAATTGGTCTCCTTCCTTTGAGTAGCTTAACTTGCCATGAAATCTTTCACAGAGAGACGATCGAGGGAAGTTAAGAATAAATGAAATGCTCATAATACAACAGCATTGAACTGTGTAGTTCTCAAGCTGCCTAAACAAAGGCAGTGGAATGCCAACAGCCCAATATGTAAAGATACAAAGCTATTTCCAGAGACACAGAACTATCAGAGAAAATACTAGAAAATGAACTGCAGCGTATGAGGAAAAAAGATTGTGATGAAAGCATCATCTAAGATTTATGTTATGTTTTCACAGGCAATAGTTTAGGTTATTCCTTGATTTTCAAATTATTAGAGTCAATGAAAAGTGATTCTTTCCATTTACCACTTAAGGAAACTATACTGACAACCCCAATGATTTTAAGTACTATCTTGTTATACCATACCTCTGGGTTACAGGTTGAAATTTTGAACTTCAGAAACCATAGATTAAATTTGAAATGTGTAACTTCCTTTCCAGATTTCAAAAATCTATGAAAGCATGCCAAGGAAAAGAATAGTATCTAAGTCTGTAAATATCAACTTTCTTGAGGAATAAAAATATTTACTTGTAATAGAAGAAATTTACAAACCATTACTAAACTTCTTTAGGGTAGATCCCTGAAATAGATCTTTCCTTTCTTTTTTGAAGACTGCTTTCAAAAATGGATGGTTTTCCCCAATTTTATTTAAGGGATTATATGAAAATAGAGGGTTTAGAACATTTTTTTTCTGTCCATTGGATAGGCACTGAGCAGCTTTACCCCTCCAATCTTGTACATGAAATGACGCCTGGAATGCCAAGGCATGTTTGCTTTCTGCATTGAGCCACAATATCCGTTTACCAGCAACACTGTGGAAAGGGTGAAAGGGTACATTTGGGGAAGGGGAGGTAAAATCTCATGTCAAAATAATTAAGCCCCGAGATTGTAACATTTGGGTTTTTTCATGATTTCCCAGAGATGCAGCAAACCTAGTTTTGCTCCTCAGGGATCATGTACCATATTGCCCAAGTATAAGAGTTAGGTGCAGGCAGTATAAAAGCACTGTCCACTTTAAAAAATGATTTGTAGTCTGCTATTTAAAAAGAACCTCCAATAGGCTCAGGAGGGCTTAAGGGTAAATTTGAATCTCTCATTTAGTATATGCAACCAAAGTCTGGAAACTGGTCCCTAACTTTCAGTTTCACCATAAGACATGTAACTGAAGAGTGAAGGGTATGCTTCCTTTCATTCATAATACTGACAAGTAATGTTGCAGCTGAGTTTATACAAGAGCAAACATCCAGTCAATTTAACTACAATTCAATCAAACAGGCAGTCAATCATCCAGCTATTTAATTTGCAAAAGGCCAACTAATTAGATTGACTGTGTTGCTGTGTCACATTGAAACCAAAAAACACAGATCTCGAAAAAAATGTTTGAAAATAGGTGTAAAAAAATAATCCGTGCTCTCCACTCTTCTCTACCAAATGTTATTAAAATGTATTAAAAGATGTGCTCAGCAAAGTAATCTATATTAACTATACAGAAATAGAGACAGAAATGTACCAATTAATAAACAGATTATAAATTCCTTGAGTAAAATATTCTAACATTCATTTTTGTTATCCCAGCACAATGCCAACTACATGTGCTTGACAGACATTTACTAAGTGGATAAATGATGTGCAGTCAAACCACAAAAGGAAAAACTGCAAATAGGTGATAGAAACTTAGGGACAAGGTGTGCTGCCCGTGGGTGCATCAAATGGTAATTATTAATTTACTCAAGGTGAGCAATCCTTCAATGAAAAGTTACTGTGGCATTTTGTGAGATGTTTATCTACAGTGAGTGTCAAGTAATTTTTTTTTAAAAAATAGATTGGGTCAGAAGGGATCCCATAAATATTGAGGATTGGGAAGTTTGAAATTAGACATTTATAAATCTCAAAAAATAATATGACGTCTATTAAAAATGTTTCCCCTGGCAGCATAAAGCTATAGTGGGAAACACAAACACCTGAAAACATACATCATAATATTCTCTATCAGATCTTGCTAACATGAGACCAAGTCATTCCTGTATGGCTGAGGCAGAAGATAGCAGGTCACTCCAAAGAGAATTTAGAAATTTCTCTACCCACAGTTTGATGTTGGCATGACTTCCCATTTGAGCATGTACAGTGTTTCAGGGGCAAAACATTTTATTTCCACTTAATTATTTGACTGGAACAAGTACAACTTTTCATCCTGTAATATGTTAAAGGTCTAAAGTGATATTTCAAACCCTGAAACAGTCACAGCTCTAAAGCAGCCAGTGTAGACATCTCAGGTGTTTCAGAAACCTTTGGGTTTTTTCCTTTTTTTTTTTTTTTTTTTTTTTTGGACCCAGGCTTTCAATGAGGGGAGTGCCCCCTGGTGGAAATGCTTGAAAATATTGTTAGAAAATGTTTTGATTAGAATGTGTTAATTACAAAAAGTCATGCCACTTGAGAATAATTCTGGATGCAAAATGACTGCTATTAGAATCCGGATGTGGGAATGAATGTTTGGTCCTGTTCAGGTTGCTGTTACCCAAATAGCTGCATTTACAGATTCAGGATGTATGTGGCCCTATTTCCCATTTTCCCATAGTGGAAAATACAGTTCAGACTTGCCAGGTTAGGTTAAGGTCACTTGTAGTAATACCCCATGGAGGACAGTAAGAGGGATCTCTTACCAAAAATTCTTCTTTGTGCTAACAGATAATGTCATGTACCTTATTTGCTATCTCAGAGAATATACTGAAACAGCAGAACTAAAATATATTGTCAATATTGTGCACCATAGGTGCTCAATAAATTTGCTGAAAGAAATTAAACAAAAAACTAGCTATTCTTTGTTTCTGAAAAGAACCTGAGAATCTGTATGTTATGTGGTAAGTTATCAACACCTTCTGAATATTAATTTTACTGGAAATGAGAAGCTGCTTTTCATTGGGACTTCACATCTCCAAATAATTTCCTATGCTTTCTACGTATGAAAATATAAAACAGTTCTGCATTGTCATTACATGGTGGTTAACTGCAAATTCTAATGTTTTTCAATTAAAGGGTGAACTTCCTGATGAATTCCTAAACCTTTTTTATATTCTAAAAAGTTTACGGTTTTTACGAATAAAACTCATTAGTAATTGTACCATAAAAGGAAGAAAGAAACCGTCAATAAATATTATCAGTACTCCCAAATGCTAACGAAGAATTCTCTAAAACGGCAGCTAAGTGAAAGAGACGGCCAGTCTGAACAAAAAGCCCGTCTGGCCTCCCGTTTGTCTCCTCTTTGAACGTAATCACTGATTCAGATAGATTTTATCGGTTTCATGGAACTCCAAAGCCCTCAGAAGGAAAATATGATTTGATTAAAAAAAAGAGAAAACCTCCCTACTACAAAGAAAATACGGTGAATGTTCTTCAAGGCTACCTGCGTCTGTGGGTTGGTGAATTTTTAATCACATGTCCAGGTGGAAGGCCATTTTCAAACTCCGCCTACTATGCTGGACTTCGGCCAAGTAAGTTATAAGCAGACACATTTATCTCTGTCATTCGGGGAGGCTAAACGAGAGCTGTCACGTTGGGGTAATAGCACCTTTCTACCTTTTATTCAATAGTGATATGGATAGTAGTCTTTTCTTAAATTACACTGTGAAGAATTATAGAAACACAGTAGCAATCTCTCTTATACTTAAGCAGGAAAATTTCTCTCCACCACATAATTTGCAGAACTCAAATTCAATAAAACATTACATGATGGTCCATTACTGTTATCAGTTTTGAATAATCCATCTTCATTCTTTATTTTACTGGAAAATAAAGTGTGCCAAAGACAAGAGGAGGGGGAAGAAAAAAGGAAAAAAAGCTGCAGGATGGGATCCGAGCTCAACTCTGGGTTTTATTTTTAAAAAGGCACTAAAAAATACAATTTCTTCTGTCACAAGCTTGAAATGGCAAAGAAGTCAATGGAAAAGTATAAATCTAGCAGCTTTGGCCATTTTTTTTAGCCATAGGTTTCCACTAAAAAGACATCGAGCGGGAACAGCTGAACGAAGGAGGTATGCTAAAGGCTGGTGTCTTCGGCAGCAATTCCAGAACGCATGCCCCTCAATTCAAAAGCAGAAAATGTCCTCAAAACAAGGAATAATATAAATATCACCACGAATGTTCAAAAAAGGCAGACTTTTTTTAAAAAAAGAAGTCATGTGTGGAAGTCTTGAGAGAGGGGTATGATTTAATTTAGGAGATCCAATTAAGATGATGAGAAAATTCTCCAATTAAGAGTTAAACCTGTACAGAGCTGTCAATGACAAACACTTTCTCAAGTCATAAGAGCACTACCTATTATACTAATATTTTAACATACTATGTATAGGGTGCCATCGTCTTTATCTGATCGTTATCATATAACTTTGCATTTGTATGTACATATTTTACATGGATTTTTTAAACCTGGAGTTGGAACTGCACATTGTAATAAGTGCACACAATGTGTGATATGTGATTTAACTCTGTGGAGCGCGTCTATACATATGCATTAGCATGTGTATTTTCGTACTCCGCACTCACACCATACACCCTCACTCTGCACCTGCTTTTATTGAAATGCATACACTTCGAAATAAACACACTACATGCATTTATATGAATGTATAATCATTAAAGTAAATGCAGCTGTGTGTGCGCATGCGCATGCATATGTGTGACGGTTTTTTAAGTGTGACACCAAAAATACATGCATGCTTGCTTTCATGTTCAAAATCCAGTTCCCAAAAAGTGAACATTTCGGTGTGCACAGAAAATTACTCTTAGTTAAATCAGATAGCTTCGAATATGGCCCAACAGCCACTCCAACTGAGGAGTACCAATTACCAATACAACGTAAAGGTACAAAACCAACCCCTCTACCGTCCAGAGCTCAACATAATATTTTGGTGATGACTTTTGCTAAATTGGCTATTATTAATCAAGAGAGGCTGGTATCAAGCTATACCAGATTTTATTCTCCTCTGACTCTCAGAAAAATAAAGTCACTGTTTTTGATGTTAACCACAGAGATGACTACCTTTTCAAAGAGATTAACACAGCATAAAAAGAGAATTCTACTTTTTCCCCCCCAGTAACAAGTCCTACAAATATCTGTGGAATTTGTCAATATAAGAGCCAAAAGCAGAACAAATGATCAACTCCGCAGAGTAAAGGCTGGGACACTATAACCCAAGAGCAGAGAAACTATCCCGAGGGCTGGGGACTCCTCCCTGGTCCCCCTCCGCTGGACTCCCTTGTCCTTCCTCATCATATAAAATACACTTTCCTCCAGGCTTTGAGAAATAACAATTTGCTCATTTTTTAAGATTCTTATCAGTAAACCTGTATGCCACCTGTGTGTATGTCAATGCTGTCTTTGTCTGTGAGCTTTTAATTCAATTCAACAACCCTATCTAATTTTTGCCCAATACTGAGAACTACTTGGTGTTACTGCTATTTACAAAAATAAAGTTGCCAGAAGCAGGAATATCTAGCTAGACGGTTGACTTTTGATTCATTCATTTATTTCATTTCATTTTTAAAAATAACTACCACCCAACTGAATATAGGTGTCATATTAAATTTATCAGCTAAAAATAAACACATTTTTAAGTTGTAAAAATACAGAATTAGGTAAAACCATACAATTTTAACCTGAGATATACCTTTCTGTAATCACCCTTTTAAAATCAAAAGACGTACAAGAAATAGAAAAAGAAATTGAAAATAAACACTGAGTTAAAGGCTTTGTCAACCCTCCTAACTTCCAATCCAGTTAAAGCAAGCCAAAAATAAGTCACAGCTGGGATTCTCCTAGGTACGGAACCTCTGCCAACGAGGAATTAATACTAGATTATTTTTGTACTATAACTTTATTCTTATGATCATGTAATAAACAAAGTAACTTACATATGAGAGGAAGTATTAGTCAGGCCTCCAAAAATTGACAAGAGAAAAAACAGCAGAACAAGAAAGTTGAAGGGACACCATGTCCTCATTCTTATCAAAGTTACATGTTCCTTTTGTGTGTGTGCCCAGGCCAAAAATAAACACCATATATATCAGACTAGTTTCCAAAAAAAGAAATTAAAAATCCTCTCATTCACGGCTTCATAGAACCAGTTTGTCTAGGACTTTTTAATATTCTGGCTCTCTTTGCTTCCATCACGCTTTCTCCCTGTCCACCTGAAACTTCTCCTAAGATGATACCGTCTTCACAGGAATTTGCCCAGGAGGACAAAGGTATGGACACAAGGGGCATATGCAGGCCAAACCCAGCAGGCCAAACCTACCCCAGGGCCTCTTAATGAGGTTCGGAAGGCCATCGACAATAATGTGAATAAGGAAGAGGACAAAGCGAAGAAACACTTTTTGCTAATAAGTCATGTATTATTTTGAAATGGCTGCTTAGCATTAAATTGCAGAAATTGCTAATGAGTCCCAAGTTGTTTTTTTTTTGTTTTAAGTTGTGGAGGAACTTCTATAGGGCACATTTATAAACTCATGTTTGACATGGACAGTAACATGGGAAAGATCGCAGGCTAGAAGTCTGGAGTCCTACCAGCCTCCTTCACCAAGTCATGAAACTTTTCTCAACCTGTCACTACTGTCTATGATTCCATTATGTGAAAGCATAGGAAATGCCAGTTGGAAACACTTTTCATTGTCAATTTATTCTTTCAAGGTCCCTGCATCAAGATCAATCTGTACATAGCTTCCTCTTGGTACAGGAGGTGTATGATGGGGGAAGGAATGATAAAATTTAGGCAACACCAGGAATAGATAACAGTATGCTCACATGATGAGGATAAAATGTTAGTACAAAGTAAAAGAATAAACACGAGTATAGATGGGACTGAAGAAAGTGAGAAAAAAGAAAAAGAACCGTTAACAAATAAAACAAAACTGACCTGAGTTCTGTTAAAAGCCACACGTGCAAACACTGCCTGGGAGATTCCTGCTCGTTTCAGTTCATCGCGTACCCACTGGTAGATTTCGGAAGACACCTCTGTGTTGGTGGAAACCTGTTGCTCCAAAGGCTTATTCATAGATCTACTGACAGGGGGAGGGTGGTTCAAGTATTGTTGGTTTAAGGACTGCTGGGCTAAAAGTCTGTTCACTGCATACTGCTGGTTCAGCAGCTGAGCCATCACCAGCTGCTGGTTGACCAACTGAGGACTGATGGGCGTTGACACAAGCCCAGGGTGCAGATTCGGAAGAGGGGTCCGGACAGAGGTCTGGCTGCTGTGGGAGAGCTGCGCGGGGGATGGAGGCTGCTCGGCTGTGTTCCCTGGGACCGGCTGCTGGCCAAAGTTGACGTGGTTGGCTCCTTGCTGGGATAGTTCAGAAAGACTATCTATTTCGACTGAAGTGGATTAAAAAGTAAAATCATGTTAAGTCAGCAAGGATGGGTATTGATAAGCATTTCTGGTCATTTCCTAAACAGAGAGTAGGCACAGGGCACATCCAAGGTCCAATTAAACTACGAAAATTTCAGGACAGAACTCATCCTGCTGTGTTTTTACTTTCCTCTTCTGCACAATTCCACAAACTTTAAAAGTGGGACAATGCTTCTGATCTAATTTTACAATGTGGTTTAGACTTAAGGCATGAAATCAATTCTCTATAACTAGTTTTGGGGTCAAACTATTATTCATTCTCATTACTCCATGAACGGTTATAAGCAATGTTTACTTTAAGATAGCTTCTGCAAGTACCATTTGCTTAACAGCATCTAGAAAAAATGAGTTGAGCTCAGATAAGACATGATATGCAACTAAACAAGAAAGAAATATGCAATTATTTTCTCATGATCTATATTAACTGTTATTGCTCTAGTCAAAAGGTTTGAAAGAAAAAAGAGGGCATAAATGTTATCAACATTCAGTTCTTACCCAGACATGAATATAAGGAAGTAATCAATACAATAAATAATGAGAGTGTTCATAATGATAAGTAATAATAACTGAGTGCATATCAAACACTGAACTGAGTATCCTATACAGTTTGCTTCATTTAATTCTAACCATCATGGGCAGCAGATACACCTGCAAATATTTCTTAGAATGAGACAAATGATTTATTGTATTGCAAACCACTCTACCCAGTGTTGCTAAGCCCCAAATGTTTCTTGAAGAAGCTATGGCTATCACTAGATGCTAAAGATAATCTTTCAAGGAAGGGACAGTGAGTTGTTCTGGTACAATGGTGATACTGTCATGATTTTGCAATTTATTACCACCTACCTAAGATGAGTCCTTCTCCCTTGCCTGGCTAGATCTCTTACGTGCACTGGCTGAGAGTCACCTCTAAGTGTGTCAAATGCTTTGCTGCTGTATGCAGGAAACTGGTTTGATGCTCTTAACTAGAAAAGCTGAGCATGATGCTATATGGAAGTAGGTGAGTCTTTCCAAATAGCACACTATACTTTCTGTGTATAGACTCTAGTTGAATTCTAATCATCATTTCTCTTTTCATCAAACACTCAGATTTTATATTTAGAGGAACTTATCATATTGCTATAACCACTGATATATGCAAAATATAACTAAGAATTGGGGGGGACCTTTCATTTCTACCAGTGATATCAGCCCAGGTGGGCCATTCACAGGGAAGAGTAATTCAAGCAATTATTCAAAAAATGATGCATTGTCTTCATTATAGCTATGAGCTATAAAAGGTAAAGAATCTAGGTAGATGGATGGTTTCGCTTCAAATATTAAAAGCTAAAACAATGCTGAAAATTCAGGTTCTCTTGTCTCCTAAAATTTTTAGGAACAGTTATTATTGTTGTGGTTATTAAATGAATGTAACAGAAGTGAACAGAAACAGAGCTAAAACAGGGCATAATGCAATGCATATTAAATATCCCATTCCTGTGTTATTTTAAAATACCTTATTTGGAGGGTGCAAGTATGTGAAGGAAAACATTACTGGAAATTAAAACATTAACCTTAATCACAGTTTTGCTTTTGCAAATACTAACAACCTCAACAGGGACAAAAATGTCATAATCTAAATGCTTAGGTACAACACACAACTTTTGTCTGTCATTTTACACTGCATAACTTCACTGTATTTCCTGAGTAACAAATATTGACCTGAAGTTGTATGTTAAGACAGTATGCTATACTGGAATGTAAAGTTCTGAAATGATGCAATGATTTTTCCAGCAGGGATGGTCAAGCAGTATGCTCACTAAAGCACCTATATGCAGGGCTGCAGATTAGGTACATAAAAAATCCTTCATCTCAATTGTGGAAACTAGTAACACAATTTAGTTTCCTTAAAAATGGGGTGTAAAAATAGATACTTTCTCTTCCTCTTGAACCAAAACAAAGAACATAAAGCATGATTTATCTCTGAGAGAAATCACAACTAATATTAGTTATTCAAGGCCTAGTTAGGTTTTCACTGAGATGTTACAAAATGACAGCTCCCCTCCTCACGCCCGGGTTTCCTGCATGTCTGACAACCAAGTCAGTTTGGCTGATTTAAACACAAACATTTATTGAATTTAATTATCTCATTATACTCATACCCACTCCCCACCCTCAAAGAAACATTCTAAATTGATCTCTAATTGGGCAATCAAAAGACCTGGCTTTAGATGTGACTTTGATAAACCCCCAAATGACATGTAATGGTATGTAGCCACCGCTGCAACAGTTTTTGCTTACCCATCATATCTTTTGTCTTCTTGAAATGTTTGTACCACCTTCCAAATTCTTGACATTTCGCTGCTGAGACATTTGCATAGTAAGTGCTGTTCACAATGGAAGAAATCATACTCTGCAGAAGATGGGGGAAACATTTGTAATACATAGTGGCACAAGATGGAATGCAGAAATGGTTTCAATTGTGGAAACTGTTATTTTTTAAAATCAGCTGAATACTGATACATTTTTGTTTCACACTTAACTCAAAGCCTCAACTTCTTAAAATTCATTAAGTAGGCCATCAAATGCTTATTTAAGTAGAAAGCAACCACCTACTGAGACCAGTATAAAGCCATCAAACTCATAGGCTTTGCTCTAGTATTTATGGAACCTCCATCAATGTCATCTATTCCTAGGCTGACAAAGTTTCACTGACCCCAATAAATCCCCATTATATAAAGATAACTTTAGGATCATTCATTCATAAAGAAAGGCAACTTAAGAGTTTTAGTGACAGTTCTGTATCCTTGCTTCTCAAAGTATGGCCCAGGGACCAATATCAGCACCACCCAGAAGCTTACTAGAAGTGCATCATCCTCAGTCCACTCCAGACCTAGCCAACCAGCACCTGCATTTTACCTAGATCCCCGGGGTCTTTGTGCGTGCATTAAAGTTTGGGAAACACCACTTGCACTTTCAACTGCTATTACCATATTTTTAGGACTATAAGACGCACCTAGATTTTAGAGAAGGAAAATAGGAAAAAATCTTGAAGCAAAAAATGTGGTAAAATATTTAATAACTTGTGACTCTGCTCCACTGCTGCTCCCCCCGCCAAAAAAAAAACAGCGAGCCAGGCAAGCTACATTCAGACTGTAAGACACACCCCACCCTTCCCTCCCAAATTTGGGTCGGGGGTGGGGGGGAAGTTGTGTAATCATATAGTCCGAAAAATACGGTGTTCGGTTTCTGATTGGAGGTGCATCGACTGCTTTAACCCTGTTCAAAGGCTGACTGACCACATTCAAGGAGAAAATAAACTACTGACAGACATCCTCTATCAGAAGAAAAATCCATCTACAGTTCTATTGCTAGCTTCATCTACAGTAAAGCTTGAGTTTTGAATTTCAAACTAACCATAAAAAATTTAAATATATACATTTCATGCTTACTAAATTTTGCAAAGATACCACAAAAAAGAAAATGACCTACTCTGTCACTTATGTTCATCCAGAAAATAGACAACAGTTTAACATAGAAATGAAGACAAAAATTGATTTTGATGTATTAGTAGGCATTTTTTTAAACTCATTTTCAACAAAGAAAGTTTTCTTCCTAGCAGATTTTAGTTATGGTAATTTCAGTGGCTTGATACACAGTTATTTTTAACCATAGCACCCATATTCTCTAGTAGTAGCAGCTAAGTTAATTTCCAAGTGAGTCTTAGGAATAATGAAGAGTTCGCTGTGCCAGCCCAACCCCCACTCCTATGTGTGGAAACATGAGAACTTGCATTTCAGACTTCAGTTGGTCTATGGTGAAACAGTTTACAGAGGGCAGGCTGTTCAGGAGCAGCGAGCAACCAGAAAAGCCAGTTTGGGAACAAAAAGTATTTTTATATCTCCTTTAAGCTACTTTTCATTTAAAGCTCTTTTGGCTATTACTGATTCTCCTAACATCCATTACCAGTGTTAATTTTGTAATACAAACAACATCCCTGTAACAGGTAAATCTTGGGGATCTGCAAAGAACTTGCCGTGAAGGATCAGCCAGAGTTGCATTATTTATGTAAAACATGGCTATCCTTCCTAAGAAGAATTGTGACATCCTTTTTTTTTGACACTTTCTACTTTATAGTCCTTTTCTCATTTTATTTCTCTAAAAAGGCATTCTTAATGGGCTCATGATGCCCTGCCATTAATCTAGTAGCTTGCAATTTTACTAAGAGCCTTCCTCAGTCCAGGGTACAAAAAGATACTTAGCAAGGTTGCCAAAACCAGAGCCAGAAGATTACCTGATCCAGTTAACAATCTGTCAGCTTCAATCACCCTTATTCTATTGTAATAATGGATCAATAAAGTCAGACGCTAATAAAACTATTGAGATCGCTGATGGATAATGGTGATTCTGAAAATGGACGACAGTTGATGTTCTTCCACTTTGGTTCAATTTTGTAAAAATTATTACTCTTATACCTAGACATTCTGGCAGTTTCTTAAATGTTAATAGTACATAGACATTGCAGATGTAGCTTGTATCTTAATTTTCAGAAATATTTGAAATATATAAATTTTGCTGAGGTTTTTGAAAAACATCCAATCTACTTTAATTTGCCAATTGTTTTCTCTGGGAAATTTGCTCTGTGTTGCATGCACACCTACTGTGTGCTTGGCTGATACTAGCGCAGACAAGATATAGCCTCTGCCTATAGGAAGTTTACAATCTAGTAGGATATGTAAACAGATCATTTCAATTACTGTGATTCAGTATACCAACAGTGAAATATAAAAATATGTATGTGTGTGTGTGTGTGTATATATGGAAGAATGCATAGTGTGTGAAAAAAAAGTCTGAAATATTTTTATACAACTAGAGCCCATATGTAATAGTGCGATGTAGTTCATTACTATCCATATGTGGAAAATAATATCCATATGTGCATGATCATCAAAGCTTCCCTCTGCCCTTGTTTAACCCTAAATTGGTAGGCTCTGTCCTTATGTGACTTTCTAGATACATTCTACTCTTCGAGTGATGTGTGCTTAGGGAACTCTGATTAAGGTAAATATTAGCCCAAGCAAGGCATAAATCGAAAGGCTAATCCACAGGTTATGATGTATGCCAAAGCAGCTTTCTAGATTCTCTATCTTTCTGTGTTTGTGGGCGGGCGGGGGAGGGGAGCTGGGGAATATTCCGTACTTCGGGTAACTTGGGGTCACTTCAATTTTTATTGGAACAATATGCAGCAAATTTCACATGTAGCCAACTGCAAGATGCTGTTTTTCTTCTTCTTGTGGTAAAATCCTTATTGAAGTCTCAGGCATGGCACCTGGCTAGACTAGTGAGGTTCAAGGGCTGGGGGGAGAGACTTCACAAACTTACGGGGCTGACGGCATTTGAAAGATCACATTCAGTATTGTAATCTTCAATTTGGAAAATCATAAAGAAACACCTACTGTTTTGACAATACTGAATATAAATGACAGAAAGTCAAGATCGATGATATTTTCATAGGTGGCAGGGATGTATAAAGGGTATACCAAGTTCCATGTTGAGAGAGACTTGAGATTCTTGCCTATCAAAAGGAGACATTGCTTTAAAAAGATTACAATAGGCTGTTCAGTTCATGCAGATCTGGGTTCCATGTGATCTTCCAGCCCAAGTGCCTAGCAGGTATTAAACACACACTAAATATTCATCTGATGAAACACAATTAACTAAACCTGCATTCAAGTCCAAGATGTGCTGCACACTGGTAGTGTGACCCTAGCCAAATGGACTATCACATCTCCCCATACTAAATGAGAGCATCACTCACTCCATGGGGTTGTTCTGAGACTCCATTCATTCTGGCATTTTTTTCATTCACTCACCACATATTTATTGAACTCCTATAACGTGCCAAGCACTGGGCAAGTGACTAAAAATAAGCAATGACCTGAAGAGACATACTATCTGCCCTTGGACAGACAGTAAGTAAAAGAATGAATGGATGCAACTAGCACAGTGCCTAGGACACAGCGAGTACGGATTTATGTGATGTTAACGACTAGGAAAACCCTCTGCCACTGCCTCCTCATTGGGGTTTTATTGTATGATCAATCACATCTGAGATTGATCGGAAGACTATACTGTATGTAAATAACAGAAAGGTATCAGGTAAAACTGCAAATGACACACTTTAAGTCAAATACATTTTCTTATGAAGAATGAAGACTGTTAACTAAATTAAATTACAAGTCATGGGAAAACACCAAGGAAAACAGTACTTTCATTTGTTGCAATATTCAAATTGGGTGGTATCTTCTAAAGGTGGCCTGCACCTGGTAGCTGACATCAGGAAGACACACACCACTTCCCTGCCTTGGAGGCGGGACCAGTGCCTTCTCCCACTTCTAGCTAACAGCTGTTCACCCCTAAGGATGTATTGGAGGTATCTCTGCTTCTGCCCGTGCTGACTTCCCCAACATCCCACACGTTAGTACCACTATCGTACTTGTCCTGCTGAAGGCTCTCTACTAGAGCCTTGGTCCTTATCTCCAAATAGCGTGCATTCATCACAGGGCTGGGGACTTATTAGTTGATCACTAAAATGGCACTGAAATGAGCCCTACTGCAGACTACCAGAAAACCTTCCTCTCTCCCTTTTTGTTCTTAAAGCTCAAAGGTAATGGCAGCTTAATTGTTAAATGATTATTTTTAAATCATCACTTCTGGCCGTCACAATAAAACTCCTAGTTTAAAGAACCTTTGTTCATTAATTTGCAAGAGATCTTTCCCCAGGTTTTTCAAAATGCATCCACACAGATGTCTCGGAAGCACTCAGTGGTTGTGTCATTCCAATTCTCTCTCCATGTCTATTTATACAAGCTCTCTAAAGTGCTTTGAGAAAGACACAACTGTTATTGAAAGTTTTCCTGTTTAGTGGCCAGCCTGTGTAAAACATCAATGCTCAGGGAATAAAGGAATTGGGCTGATAAAACTCAGTCAGTTTAAATCCCAAGTTCAAATGCTACATACAACACCGACCAATGAACAGGCCACAGCTTTCCGTGCTGGGAAACAGAATTTGAAAGTCAGCAGAAATTGGCTGTGGATCTCATAACCCCAGTGTGACACGATACTCTCGTCCTAGGAGCCAAGTTGTAAGCTTTTCTAAGATCCATAAAGCACATGTCTACTCCCTATGAGGAGCTTCGGTTCTTTCTGGGAGTCTGCTGAAGTTCCGATCTGAAAGAATGCCATCTTCACAGAAACCCCGGCACTCTAGAATGATACCATCTGCCACAGGCTGAGCTTCCTTTTCAGCCAAATACATTATTTATAACCTTTCTAATTGTGAAAAGGTAAGGGTGGAATTTTTCTAAAGCCTGACTTAGACATAGTTAGAACATTGTGAACCTTTGCTCTAAA